TAAATTTTTCAGCGAAATGCTCACCAACGGGAGTTCATCGAGCCGAAAGTTTGTGGTTTTTGTGTCTATGATGGCACTATCATTAGTTGTAATATTCTGTGATATTTTATGGATGCCAATCGTTTCACATGATGCATTCAACACATTCCGAAAATTTGTTCTCAGTGATTCTAACCGACAACGAATAGGAGAAGATCCTAATGCATCGCAGCACAAAACAAATGTGGATCCTGTGATGAACGGTTAGCAACATTTGAATGCAACAGTGCGAAAAATGCCAAGATGCATCATCAAGTACAATACCATCGCTTACGCACACGGTTCATTTCGCGTTAACGAAACAATTTAAGAGAGGTTTTTTGGCGTAAACACGACCTCAATCGAAGTGCTATGAAATTGGAAAAAATGCGATCAATTTTGCGATCAAATTCATATAGGCTTCCTTATGCGATCCATTCGTCTCTATCAATGAAACACATTTTAGGGAATAATAACGCTAAGTGCATCTTGCCAGAGTTGGATCCCTGGGATCCGTGGATAATGAAATTTATAAGTCCAAATGTTGGCAAGAAGTGTAAGGTTGCCGCCAAGAAAATTTATACAGAATTGCAAAACGGCACTCTTAGAAGTGTGATCAAGGATAATGACCAAGCGGGTGAGTTGTTGCTGTTGTTGTAGCTGAGCTTGATGGTTTGTGAGAAACTGAATTTGATTGAGCGATAACGATTGTAACAATAATTGAAATAATCGCATGATAGTATTATGAGATGTATTCTAATCTGAATACAGTGCTACATGCAAAATCTAGTAGGCTGGAGGAATATTCAGGTGAGATGCGCTTGTTTCAGGATCAGTAGAATGCAAATATCGATGCATGAGTTCGAAGAGAGAAGAATCGGTGGAGGGGGGTGAATGGATCAACATCGACAACAATCAAACGTATCGTGTAAAATGTGACTTTATCGAAACACAGTGCTTCGTCAACAAGCGCTTAACCTACAATAACTTACATATTCAGGTGATTCGTTCTCTATTAGTGGATGCTCATGATAAACCTTGACATTTTACCAGTGATGCTGTTGAATATTCAACAGAAAGTGCGATAAACCAGGGGCACAAACCGAAAACATTGAATTTCTTCAAAGTGGCGCTCAAATTGAGCAGAATAACGGAATTCATCAANTGTGCAATTTTTGTTGGATATTCAACCGTAAACATTTTCACAATATGCAAATGATACTGATTCATTTAGCCATCAACAAAGAAATTCAGGTTGTACGCCCAGAGGGGGTTAAATTCGTGAACGAAGGACCAGAAAATCCGAGTGTGATAATATTCATATTTGACTCAACTTCATCATCTACAGGATTCAGATCATTGCCGCAAACGCAACAAGTATGAACTGTTTGTTACTTATCAGTGAAAATGGAAACGGAATGGATGAGCAGGCACTCATTGAGTTTAGGTCAGAATAATACAAAATTCCACAAGACAATTTCTCTGAACAAGATAATTTTTTCAGATACTACGCCAGTTTTATGATGCCGTACCATTCTATCACAACAATAAAGTTGGTCTGAACAGTCGACCGAATGCATTCGGTATATTTGCAGGTAGAACTGAGCAAATTTGACCTTTTCAAAACGAGCTTGACGCATCCGTTGCTAGTTCTGTTTATTCGAATAGATTCATGCTCATATACTCGAACCAGTTCACTGTCTTTTGCTTGATTCAAATATATTTTGAGGACGTCGTATTTCGTCAATTCGAGCTGGAAAACTACTTGAAATCAACAAGAAGCCGGAAGTGCCGGATCGATGCAAAGTTAGTAAGATGTTAGAGCAGTGGTTCTCACGTTCAGATGCTCCATTACCCCTTTTGATGATCTGGCAGGCCACGGTTACCCTCCCCCCATGATATAACCCAAAACGGGTAATTTCA